ACATGAGGGCGCCTCGAGACTGCTGAGCAAATCTCTCTCTCCCTCTGTCTACAACTTCTAATGCATGCAACGAAATCCTTCATTTGCATGAAATCATATGCAATTTAATATATAAAACAATTAACTCTCATCTACTTGTACTGCCGACTGTCCATCCTCCTCCATGGAAATAGACAAGTCCTCTTTTCAAGCTGTGCTCCTGCCCTGCAGCAGCTGACTCAAACACTCGTGCTTCCACTCCCCCAAAACACGCCTCTGTGACTCTTGACGGTTGTGCTGGACTCGATCCTTTTTACATCCGCCCAAGCCGAACAGTATTTTACCAAACCGAATGGGGAAGTCAGTCCAAGGTCATGAGCTACAAAACTCTAAACAAAAAAAAGTCGTGTTTCTGTCAGCAGATCTCTTTAATAAATCCATAAGTCGTGACACTTCGGTGCAAGTTTATATATTAATTTAAAAGCATTTATAAATAAATATTTGAATGCAAAATCTTACCAACTTCATCATGCCACGGATCAATGCATCCACATACATGAGTTTCCATGGCTCTGATATAGTGCTGGGCAGAGGCAGATAAATATAATAAGCGGTTGCTACTGACAGTAAAACCGTCCCGATCAAAATGGACCGCATTATTAATTATATTAAAGGAGCATTAAAATGAACTGCAGCACAAAACGTCAGTATGCATGACACTTCACCTCATTTCACATAGTAGAAATTATGAAATCACAGGAGTTATTTTATGTTAAAAGTCCTCGTCCACCTGAAGTGATTGTTTTCCTTTGACTGCAGTTTTGATTAGTGATTTTATTTGTTAATTGCTTTACTTTTATTGCCTCCCATTTTTTTTTAGATCAGTTACTCCTATAAGTGCACATAACTAATAGTAAATGATTTTATGTCTTTGTGTTACATCTTATGTCTGTTGTTGTTAAATAACACAAAACTTCAAATTTAAATTGACTATATTAATTTTTTTACTTATTTTTTTTTTTAAATAAACGACACGGTAATTAAATGTTAACTACTTTCCTCTGCTGGATTCAGCATAGAGACAGAGACTTCTATTTTGAAATTATATTCATACTCCGTTGTACATACATACCGTCACATTGAATTTACGTCAGATATCAGTGTGCACGATCAACTATGAATGAATATGTTAGCGCTTGGTTGGGGGGGGGGAATAAATATACAGTATTTATCCTTTTCATTATAAATTTCAGTCACGCTATTTTACACTTAAAAAAAGAATAAGTGTCACGAATCCAGTCCATGGACTTTCATCCAATGAACACAAGAGGTCGCTCTCTCACCATATTGACACTCACTCCACATAGACTGTCACACATCACTATGGACTACATCTCCCATGCTCCACTGCACTGATTGCGCACTCACCTGCATCCAATAACTCACACTATATAACACTCACTCTGATCCTGCTTTAGTCGCAGAGTATTGTTTTAGCGCTTATCGCTCATCCTGTGATGAAGTCGCAGCTGATCTCCCTGAGTCCAGTCAAGTCACAGTTCATCTTCATGAGTCCAGTCAAGTCACAGTCGATCTTCCTGTGTCCAGTCAAGTCACGGTCGATCTTCATGAGTCAAGTCAAGTCACAGCTGATCTTCCCGAGTCCAGTCAAGTCACAGCTGATCTTCCCGAGTCCAGTCAAGTCACAGTTGATCTTCATACTGAGTCAAGTCAAGTCACGGTTGATCTTCATCCTGAGTCAAGTCAAGTCACAGCTGCTCATTATGAGTCCAGTCACGTCTCAACTGATCGTCCAGAGTCTCGTCACATCCTGTCTGTTGCACCCAGATCTTCAAGGTCAGTCCTTCGGTATCCCAGTCTGGTATCCAGTGTGAGGGATGCACCGCTGGTGTCTGCATACGCAGCTGGTATCCCCAAACCCACTCACTCTAGCCCTCCTGTCCCTGAACTGATTGCCCTGACTGAAGCGCTTCCCTTGATGGGGATCGCTCTATGGTGTGTTTGGGCTGCACACACCACCACAGAACCTCCCGAGGTGGAGACGCTCGCTTCAGCTCCTTGCGTGGTGGTGGCGCCCAGCGATGCACTCTCAGCCTGTCGTGTTGCGGTCGAAGAGACCATTACTAACTTCTCCCTGTTTCCTGAAGTTACTGCTGTATAACCTCCAGAGGTGGCGGCAACCGCTGCAGAACCTCCAGAGGTGTCAGTGGTATCCATTTACGAACTCTCTGCCTGCCCAGCCACGGCCAAGGAGGCCGTTTATGATTTTTCCATCTGCTCCTCCGTGGTGGTCTGCTGTCTGGCCCTGGTGGTCTTCGGCTCTGCCCTGGTGGGCTTCTGTCCCGTCTGCTCTGCCCTGGTGGGCTTCTGTCCCGTCTGCTCCGTCGTGGTGGGCTTCTGTCCCGTCTGCTCAATCAGCCATGGAGGCTGATTGTAATCTGTCTGTCCATCTAGATGCTGATTTTGAACTCTCTGTCTTGTCAGTTTCTGTCAGTCAGTCTGATCATGAACTGGCAGTTTGTCTTAGATCAACCTATGAATCTGTTTTTGAATTGTTTGTCTGTCCCATTTTCCCCAGTGAGTCTGTTGAACCATCTGTCTGTCCAGTTCAAAACAAGGAACCTGTTAGTTGCCCCATTAGTCCAGTTTTGAGCCCAGAAACCATAAATGCATTCCATGTTTGTCCCGTTAACCCTGTCACTGCCATAGAGACAATTCATGAACTATCTGCTTGTTCTGTTCCCCCAAATGTGTCTGAATTGTCTGTCTTGCCAGTCCTAGTTTGGGAGTTCGTTTATGAACTGTCTGATTGTCTAGTTTCAGTCAGTAAGCCTGGTTTTGAACTATCTGCCCACTCAGTTGTCACCAGAGAAAATATTGAGGAACTTCTTGTGTCCCCTGCCTCGGTCCTTGAGACAGTATATGCTCTCTCTGTTTCTTGTGTCTCAGTTTTCCCTAGGTCCCAGTCTTTACAAGGGGTTTATGCTCTGTCCGCTCCGCTGTGGTGGTTTTCTGCTCCGCCTGTTCCGTCTGCTACTCCGTGCCGGCCTGGTGGTCTTCTCCTCCTCCGTGGTGGTCTTCTGCTCCGTCTGCTTCGGCCTGGAGGTCTCCTGTCCTGCTCTGGTGGTCTTCTGCTCCGCCGTGGGGATCTTCGGACCCGTCTGCTCAGCTGTGGTGGTCCTCAGCTCCACCTGCTCTGCCGGTTTCACCCTGGTTCTCTGCTCTGCCTACACTGCCTCAGTCCCCGGTCTCTCCACTTCCACGTGGACCTGGCCCTCCGTCCCTCCCCGTTCCGCCTCCACTCCACCACCCTCCTGGATTATGAGTTAGGAGCATCTGGAAGCCGCTCCTTGGGGGGGGGGGCTATGTCACGAATCCAGTCCATGGACTTTCATCCAATGAACACAAGAGGTCGCTCTCTCACCATATTGACACTCACTCCACATAGACTGTCACACATCACTATGGACTACATCTCCCATGCTCCACTGCACTGATACGCACTCACCTGCATCCAATAACTTACACTATATAACACTCACTCTGATCCTGCTCTAGTCGCCGAGTATTGTTTTAGCGCTTATCGCTCATCGTGTGATAGCTACTTTACGGAGCCATTCTAAATTCCTTAATCTAGTACTGCCTTGTTCTTAGTCTGTTTACCCGTGTCTTGATCCTTGCCTGTTATCTCGTTTTGTCTGATCTCTGCCTGCCCTGAAGTTTATAGCCTGTTTTGGAATTACCCTTTGCCTTGCTGTTTCGGACTGTGTTTGCACCTCGCCTGGACTCTAGCTCGTCTTGTGGATTCCCCATTTGCCTCGCCCTCAGGATTACATTCACAGTCGACTGACTCACGCCTTCCTTTGGATACTCTTTTGTTTTGCCCTCTATATACCTGTTTGCCATTGTCTGACCCATGCCTGTTTTATGACCACGTCTCTGTCTTCTATTAAAGCTTTGCAAATGGATCCGCACGTCTCGTCGGCTCCGTTACAATAAGTAGGCAATACTTCTGATTTGTCTCTTCGCTTTCATGATTCCTGATTTTGAAATATCATACATATTCATATATAATATAACAACAAATATTACATATAACATCGATTTACACCGCATGTTGATGACACAATGGAATCTGATGGAAGTGTGAAATTATGAAATGTAACAGTCCCAAACAAAGTACAGTATGGCCTGAGGATCTGGAACTTGCAAAGAGAAAATCGTTTTGTGGACGAAGTACTTTTTTTTTTTTATGGTAAACCTTGAGTTTTACACAAATTGTTTCAAATACACACTTGTATGTTGAATGAAATGTATGATTATTGCAATTCGTTTATTTTACGTTTATATTTAACCATTTCACAGATGCTGTTCCACAGATTCTACCCTGAAAATCAGAGATACCAGTGCAAATAATTTTTTTCCCAAGGAAATTAATGCATGCATTCAGAATGTATCACTCAGTAAGAAAGGAGTCCATTCTTGAGGCATGGTGGTGCACATCTGTGCAGAAGTCACGCCTAGATGCAGCTGCACAAATCTAGGGCAGAGAGCACAATTGCATGCTTGTGTGTGTGCATACATAAAAAATGTACACTGCTGCATGTTTCGAGTGTGAGAGACATGAACTGTCTTGTCTTCCCATCTGCTCACAGAACATTTGAGAAACAAGAGAAATGAAAACTATTGCAATTAGTGTCCTGTTTTACTTTTTTTTGTATGGGCCTGCTTTGACACACTTGTTATTTATATATTCGTATTTGTAGATTAATGAAAAAAAGACAATCTAACTGGTCATTTTTAATACTTTTATAAATACTATCTATATATATTAATTTATAATCATCAGCATTACTTAATGCTTTGACACATATTTATAGAAAGATTACATTCTAAATGTAAATTTTTTATACTTAATAAATTATTTAATAATTTATTTATTTAATACATATATTTTTTCCTTTCTTTTTACATTTTTTTTTTAAATATAAATTGCCTTTTTTCACTCTCTGCAGATTTTTATAATCATCAGTATTACTTAATTAACAGCATAAAATAATTAGTTTCAGTAGCTTTGGGCCTGATCAATGTGCTTTTCTCCCCATTCATAATCTATTGCACTGACATGTTGCATAGCATTTCAAGTCTAAAAACCATTAGTAAATGTTTTGAAATCAAAATATATTTAACAAAACCAAAAAAACAAAACAAAAAAACCCTGGCTCTGCTAGAGGTTCTCCTTCAGCCAGCGGGTGTAGTTCCTAAAACTTCGAAACCCTACAGAAAAGCGAGCCATGAGCGGACGGTGCAGGATGGGAATGTGGCCGTTCTGCTGATACGAGGGAGTGTTGAAGTCCAAGGCCTGAAGTGCGGGGTAGAGAAGGGCCTGAACTTTAAATTTAATAGGATCACTACTGTCCAAAGCCATCTGTGAGGAGAGAGACAAAAAAATTGATTTTGTGTTATTTTTCCTTAGTAATGAAAACACAGCCTACACCTTGAAAAAAATCTGCTGATTTGCAAGAAAAAAGTCCTAATATTACCTAATTTGATGATGATGAGTTAAAATATCATCACATACAGTTTTTTCACAAAACAAAAATTAAGCTTTAATGCACTTACGAAAATAACAAAAAAGTCAAAAATTCAAAAAAGTAAAACTAACTTCAAATGTATGATTTTATTTAATGTATAATTTAACAGACAACCAAAAAAAATTTGTTCAAATACTCTATTTAATGTTGAATAAATTTACATAAACACAAGCTTATAATTTTATTTAATTTTTTTCACAAAATCTGCAATTTTCTGTCACTGTTTGGATGAAGTAAAACACTTCTACACAGTCGTCTTTGCATTTTCTAGTCACTGGCCATAATTCTTACCTTTAAATCAGAATTAACCATAAAACGTCTTTAGAATCATTCATACATGTGAAAATCTGCTGAAAATTGAACAAAAAGTTAGGTATCCCATCTTTGTGCCAGTTTTTCTGGTGATTTTGGGATCTTCACCTTACAAATTGTTGTTGAAACCAAAAATGCTATGAAACAAATCATATTGTGTAAGAAAGTGCGATGTGCTAGAGCAAAACAGGCACTATTTTTGGAATCAGTACTTCAAAATAAGGCCGAAACAAGTATTGGATATCATTCAGCAAATATAATGCAGGATGGTGAAATTCATTTGCAGTAATTTCTCACACCTGTTGGGCCACAGCAGCAGCTAGATTGGCACCAGCGCTGTCACCTGACACAGCCACTCTTTTCGGGTCAAAGGAGTACAGACTCAACACCTCGGCTGTCAGGATGTGTTTTGATGCCTGAACGGCTTCGTTATACTGATCTGGGAAATGTGCCTCTGGGGCCAGCGTGTACCTGAACATACAAATTATACAAATGACAGCTGGTAATTAATGTAATTAAGGCCCTTAAGGATGTAGAAATAAAAATATACAGTCGAAAATTGCTTACTCAATTGATATTACAACTCCATCCAACTCTTCAGCCATAGACCAGCACTGAAGGTAATATGTTTGCATCTCTTTAAAGAAAAAAGGAACAAAAGTTACTATTACTAATAAATTACTAATAAAATATATTTTTAAAAAAGCATTTTCATTTACTTCCACTGCCGAGTGTACATCCACCTCCATGGAAATAGACCACACCTCTTTTCAAATGTGGCTCTTGGTCTGCTGCTGTGGACTCAAACACTTGTGCCTGCACTCCTCCAAAGGATGTTTCTGTGACCCTGATTGCTGGGCTGGACTGTGGGCCCTTTATTTCATCCCATGATGCAGCATACTTTACAATATCAAAAGGTCGACTCAGTCCAAGACCGTGAGCTAAAAAGCTCTATGGAAAAAAAAGACTACGAGTTAGAGCGGATCAGAGAGGGGGATTGTTAAACACTCTCTAAGAGTCAGAAAATCTCTTTAAGAAAATTCCTTTGTGGAATTCCTTTTGTTTCCTTTTTTTTTTTTTTTTATGCGTTACAAGCTCAAATTCCACATTTTTCATTTGTATTAAAGAGCTATTAGATTTATTAGATTT